TCCCACCATGGCGAAGTTGGCTGTGACCCACACCTGCAAGGCTTTAAGCAAGGTTAACGTCATGCTGCAGACAAGCTTTTTGGCCTACGTCAGTGATTTTCATAAGCTTCCTTGTGGCAATTATTTGTCGTATAAAAAGGTTGGTGTGCAGCGGCTTCTACGTACATGTACATGTACCTAATGTGCAAATGCTACATTAGGCCGTATATTCCATGGAATGAAGCCCAATCCCGTAGTATAGCTGGTGGAGCGCTTGAGACTACCCTGGCCTGGCGGTGAAAGCCCGCGGATTGAAGTCTCTCCGCTTGCTCTCCGCAATCGCTAATACGTGGCACGTGCATAATACGACACCGATGGCTTGCGGTTGGCGATAGCAGCCACAGCCAGTTGATGTCACTGAGAGGGACTGACTTCTTTAGTTATCTGGATGGTCGATGGCGCCCACTGTTCGTTCAGCTTCAAAATTCTCCTAGCTCAACGAAATTGGCTTAGGTACCATTCTGTTGTTTGCAAATTGACACAAATAAGGCAATTGACTATATGCAGTGCAGTGCAGTTTCAGAATTCAGCCAACTTTATTTCCCGGCCGTATTATCCACTTAACCCGCGCCCTGATGGGGGGCCATTTTGGCCCCCCCTGTGGTTTTTCTTAAATAGCGAGAAAACGGCGGCGCGCAGCGCCGCCAAATTTTGGGTACCTTACCGGACATCAATTTGACACCTTCACACAAAATTTCAAGTCACAGGTCACCTCAGGTCAGGAGTTATTGAGGTCAAACTGAGGTCATGTTCGAGTAAATATGAGCAAAAAACATGACATCTTGAAACGCTCACCAATTCTACAGTTAACAAGCAATTTTAAAGTTCTTTATGTGGTTGTGTAGACAAAAGACGGCGCTACAAAACTGCTATCTCGGATTTTCGAAATTTTGGGATTTTGACCCCCAAAAATAAAAAAATGATTTTTTTTACAAAAACTCAAAAAATTTCCAAAAATTTTTCGAATTTCGAAAAAACCGGAATATATGTGATAGTCCCTGCGCTCTTCGATATACATACCAAATTTTAGATAGATACCTCTTTTTTGGCCAAGTTATAGCGAACAAACTGTTAAAAATTGATGACGTCAAATTTTTGAACTCAATTTTTAGGAATTTTAGACCTCGTAGCGCAAAACGGAGACCACCATTGAACTCCCCGTGACGAGCTACATCGAATCGATACCCATTTTATGCAAAAATATCAACTTTGAAATTTGACCTAATTTGACCTGACCTTGACCTGACCTTGACCTGACCTTGACCAAAACGTGACCTAAGCTGGCCCTTAAGTCTGTCTGACCCACATAATCGCATTTGTCATGTAAAATGGACCATAAAACATGTATCACACGACACTTTCATATTGTGACCCCCCAGTGACATGACCTCTGTGACCTGACCTGGTATCAGTGACCTCAGATAGCAAAATATGTGTTTGAAGAACATTTCCCTATCGATGATTTTCAATGAAATGCATTTTACACGATTTTACAACGCATTTCTTGAAATGCCTGTAAACGGTGAAAATTCGACCTTTGACCTGACCTGTGACGTCATCGGTTTGACCGAGGTCAATGAAATTGGGTCACAAGGTAGTTCCCCGTTGGGGCTATCCAACACCGTTTACCGCTTGTCGCTATGTTGCGTGGTTCTCGAGATCTGAGGGGGGGCCAAAATGCCCCCCCCCCCATCAGACCGCGTTGCTCGGCAGACCCCATCTGGGCGCGGGTTAAAAACTAAGAAAAATGATTCAGTGAAAGTAATGATGCCTATTTCGTCCCTGGTTCTAGGCGGGAAATAAGAATGCAGTGTCTGGATTATCGAATGCCGATTAGCTAAGTATGTACAGTCCACAGCAGAAGTAATGTGTGGTTTCAGTCATGGGTAGGGGAAGCCGGGGGAAGCCCGGCATAGTAAGCTCTTTTTCATTTTTATTACATACCATACGTGCTGTATAAAATGTTGATATCCTGTTAGCTAGCTAAGTTCATTGGCCGTGTTTTCCCAAAAATTCGGTTTCGTGGAATAAGTATAAGGTTGAGAAAATCGAGTTTTAAAAAAGTGTTGATTTTTCTGGGGTAAGCCCGGCATAGGGGTAACGCCGGCCACCTCCCCAGCGCTTTACAACGAGTTGATGAAACCATTATGTGTCTTCCAAATATTAACGGAAAGTGAAATATTAAGGTACTGATAAGCTCTGGACATCTTAGAGTTTATGTCACTACTGGTATTTTAGCTAGCGTCTACCACATATACAGTACAGGTCGATGAAAATCGTGATACAAAATTGACAAAAAATGTGTATTTCAAAATTCCTTAAAATTTATTTTTCTTTTTACCTTAATGTATCATATTGCATATCATTCGACTCGGCTGATGAAGAAGAACACAACGACACCATTTTTGAAGCTCTAGCTTCATTGTCTGTCGCGTTATCTGCAAAAACGTAGTTTGACCCTAGTTGACCTTAAGTGACATGACTGGCTTTGTCTATGATGACATGTTTATTTTCGAAATTTATCTTTGATCTAGGTGTAAACCAAACCTGCTCAGTACCTATTATATCATGGAAAACAGTGGTTTAGTGGCATTGCTCTCGGTTGGGGGTATGCTTGGCCACTCGCCCGGGGTTACCCCAATGTGCTAATTTTTATTTTAGAACAGCGATATTCGAAAAAAATGTCATACTTAAGCCAGTCTGCCTCGTCACCCCTCACTACAAACACTTAAACGGTCCTTACATAACATTCGTATAAATATTAGTACTGTATGGTATAACATTAACAGTGCAACATATCTCACTTTTTAGCTAAAAACCCTTAAAATATCATTTTTGCGCTATAACTTTAACCCGCGCCCGGATGGGGGTCCTGGATTTCCACGCCCTGCTGGGGGGGGGGGGGTGTTTGAACACCCCCCCCTTGTAACTCGGCTCCTGGGCCACGTAGCGATACGCGGAAGGCGGCGTTCGAAAGAGCGTCAAAAATAATGACGAAATCACTTCGGTCAATTTTTTGGTCAGGTCAAAGGTCAGGTCACCAGAGGTCATTGAAGGCAAAATTTCGCCGATTTCCAGGTCGAATGGCGAAAATTTCCAAGAAGCCAACGTATAACTCGGGAACCAATAGAGCTACAGCGCCGCGGAAAAGCGCATTCGATAGCCCTATTAACGCCCTTTCTGAGTAATTCTCTCAGATTTGACCTAACATCAACGGTTTTGCCTGCAGGGGGCAAAAACTACAAAAATAGCCGATTTTTTTGGAAACAGTTTTTCTGCAATAACTTTTGACCCAAGCCCTGTACGAGCTTACTTTTACCGGCATCGTGTTCCTCTCGTCAAGACGCATCGAATGAACTATAACTTGACCTTGAAAGGTCAACTTGAAAATTTGACCTCAGGTCAAGGTCATGACCTGACCGGAAAGGGTCATGTTGCATATCAGTCGATCCGTATCGTCGAGCTGAACACATCTAAGGCGTTTTCATCGCTCTAGCATGCCTCTATCAAAAGTTATTTGCGAAAAACTGTTAGATACCATTCGTGACCTAAGATGACCTCAGGGCATAAACAAGGGTCACGGACACCATTTTCATGTTCAGTGTGTCTTAACCACTTGTAATTCGGTGTTTGGGAGTGTTTATAATGTCTTTCATCCAAAAGAGGCGCATTTCAATTTTCTCCCATTGACTTATAATGGGGAGGTCGCAAAATTGACCTGACCTTAGGTCATCGATATCAAAATTCTGAGATATACATTTTGTACATGCTATTGCTCTTAGCAATCGCTGAAAGTTTCAAAGCGATCGGTCACTCGGTGTAGCTATGACAGACATTGAAACTTTTTATGAGGTGAGGTCACTTCAAGTGACCTGGTGACCTGACCTTGAATGACCTTGGTCTGAAATTTTCACAACATGTGTAGAATTGATGTATGATAAGGTGTACCAAAAACGGCGGCGCTCCGCGCCGCCATTTTTGAGATATTCGCGAAAAACCACAAGGGGGGGGTGTTCAAACACCCCCCCCAGCAGGGCGCGGGTTAACAATATGCAATTTTTGTTAGCCTTAACTTTTTTGCTGGCGTTACCTTAGTTGCCACGCTGAAAGGACAAACAGTTGAGCATTTTATTGTGAATAATTTAGCCGGAAACGGGGTGGCCGGGCTTTCCCCGCGCCCGGGCTTCCCCCGGCTTCCCCTATGTTCTGCTTCTGAAGCCTAGGAACGATCAGCCATACTGCAACGAGACTTTAAATGTAGCTTACATGTATCTTCACCCTTGCAGCTACAACTTTACCTATCTATTGACGTCTTCTTTTCAATCAGTCCGCATTTAAAAATCGTCGGTCAAAGCCATCCGTTGCGATTGGTAAAACCACACATTACTTTAGCGGTGGGCTGTACCTGTCGACTATTGAACACCAGCCAACTCTAACGTTAGAATGCACCTCTATGTATACCTACATATAATCCAATAAGAATAAGAAGAATAGAATAAGAATCCAAACTACTAGTTTGGATTCTTATTCTCATAGAAATGCAGCCGACTTGTTTTACTTTCAACCAGACGAAGAAACCACGAAAAGAACACGGAGTAGGGTAAGGTGCCTAATTAGCGATCCTTTCCTATTTGCGACCTACCTCCCTACAGAAAAACTGGCAGGAGAAAACGGGGTAAAAACATTGTCAAAAGGTCAGCCATACTTTGTTTATCAAATTAAATTCTTTTCCGGTTGTCGGTGTTTCTGGTGGGACGTTTCAGGTGAGTTTAAATAAAAATGACGAGTTTCTTATCCAAAACGTGTGTATTTGGGCCCTCTCTGATGAAAAACGATGCACATTAGGATGGTGCACCTTTTTTATTCTGAACCTTGTCCTCCGCGGGCTAACGATCATTTCCACCAAATAGTCGTCGTTGAGGACAAGTCCTCGTTCGGACTGCACCCGCCACCCTCTTCAGGGTGACCGCTTCGAGGCGCAGGACTCGTTGGCCTAAGCAACGGGACCTTTCCGCTCAATGGTTGGAGCGGAAACTATTTTGTGACGGAAACTAAAACGCTCCGCACAACTATTTTGTCTTTCTATAGCTCTGCAATTTCCACGTCAGACCAAAAAAAAACCTGCCCCCCCCCCCTTCTAGAAAGACGTGAGCGTCACGGTGACCGGCGCGATGGAGGTGGCTAGATCTGCCGAAGATAACCGCGGTGGGCACTTTCAACAGACCACTATGCACCCACAATAGGTCACTGGGAAGTGCGGCACCCACGCTCGGTAGCATCGGCCCGGCAACAGCCCGCCGGGCACCTGCAAACTGTATCAACCCGCCGGGCAACTACCAACTGCAGCAGGCCGCCGGGCACCTACGATCTGCATCAGGCCGCCGGGCTCCTATAATCTACATCAGGCCGCCGGGCACCTACAATCTACATCTGGCCACCGCGCCGGGCTGGCAATCTGCACCCACAGCAATCAGTGGGCCGCCGCGCTGGCAGGCAGGGCGCTGACCTGTCCACGCCGCCCGCCGTTCGCCGGCCCGGCGCGGTGCGGCGCGCTCACTGCTGAATGGGAGCACCGTGACACTTCGGGGCCGGGCCGGGCGTCTCGCGTGCCCCGCCAGAAAGCGGGCCGCACGGCCGGTTGTAGGCCAGCCAGCGCAGCCGGACATGGGTTTGGGGTCGAGGGTCGACCGGGCTCAGCCCGACTCGGTCCCAATACAGACGGGCAGACAGGGACTGGTGCTGTATCACAGGCATCCAGGACTGGCTCGGGATTGGTCTGCATCACGGATTTAATCAGACACACGGACAGAGACTGACTGTGTTACCACGGACAGTGACTGCTGTGCAGTCTACTGTGCAATGTGCTCAGAAAGCGCTCGACCCATAGGCATCACTGCATTATAATATATACTAGGGATTATAATTGTGTCGTACTGCATTATTCTGGCCATATGATGAAACATTCTTATGCCCGTGCATCTCAAGATTTACACGTTCCGGTGAACAGTCCCATTTGATACCTTCAAACCCGATCCTAAAATAAATTATCCGTTTTTATGTTTTGCCATGCTTTGTTATATAATGCCGAATAATGCTTACTAAAACTCTTACAAACGATCGTTTTATTTTTGCCTTAGTGTTAGTGTCCGGTTGTGGAATTACTTTTAAAGCGCGTGCCGTGTGACATCAACTTTTCAGTCAACCACGAACCGATGACGGTGCCTCAGCTTCTCTCCTGGCCAGTCACCTATGTCGGGACATTCTCTCGGCAGGATGCGACTCTGTGTTGACCTCACGTGCCCGTCTTTCAGACCGGAGTCTGGTGAGCCGCGGCAGCGATGGCGGCCGCGCTGGCCGGCGAGCAGCTGCAGCCGGACGACCTCAGCGTGCGGCCCGGTCGCCGGGCCGACTCGGCCTCCCCTCCGCCGGCGCCACCGACCCCGTTCTCGCAGCTGAGTCGGCTCCTGCAGGCGGGAGGAGCGCCCGAGCCGCCCGCCCCGGCCGCACCACTGCGCTGCCCCACCGAACACTGCACCTTCGAGACGTTCAGTCGGGCCGCGCTCGAGGCACACGCGCGCGGACACGACAGCCGCCGGCTCTATGAGTGCGACGTGTGCCAGCTGCGCTTCACCAACGGCGCCAACCTCCGCCGGCATCGGATGAGGCACACGGGCTTCAAACCGTACGAGTGCCGCGCTTGTAGCAAGCGCTTTTTCCGTCGTGACCACTTGCTCGAACATATGAGCACGCATGCGAAGGCAGCCGGTCGCCGCCTGCCCTGGCAGTGTCCCGTCTGCGCCAAAGGCTTCCAGAGGCAGATCGCTATGCGCGCTCATTACCAGAACGAGCACGTGCGGGAGGCGGCCGCCGGCGTGCAGTGCCGATTGTGCGGGTACGCCGCTGCCTCAGCGCACGCCCTGCACGCCCACCTGGCCGCACAGCACGGTCTGCAGGTGGGCGCGGCGCCGACACCGGCTCCGGCACCGGCACACCTCCTTCTGGCGCCGCTGGAGCTGCGTGCCGAGCCAGAGTCGCCGCCCGGGTCGCCCCGTCCTTCCCAGGTGTCACCCAACAGCTCGACACAGGCGTCGCCGGGCAGTCCTGCCGATCCGGGCCCAATGGCGGGCCCCGCGCCAACTGTTGTCAAGACGGAGCCGCGGGAGCCGCCGGTGTCTGCCGAGGAGCATCAGGACCAACAGGAAGATAGAGAAGAGGAGGAAGAGGAGGGAGAGGACGAGGAGCAGCGGGAGAACGGGCCGGCCGCGGGCGCTCCTCTGCTGGTGCGCCGAGCACCCGGACTGCAGTCCACAAACGGTGAGTTGGAGAGCAACTGAGCCTCCGGTAGCTTAGGAAGACTCAAGTGTGTCGTTAAAGGGTAGTTTCTGATTCGTCAGTAATAATTTCATGTCAAGTAAACCGATTAATTTATAGGCAGCCTGTTGAATCGTGTCGAAGGTTATTTTATTTTTTGTCAAACAATCAAACAGGTTCACGATAAAATTACCCGTCTCAGTAATGTTCAATGGTCCTTTTGTGGTAAAATTGCGTTCTTTTTTTCCATTAACACGAAATTCGGAGGCACTACCGGCCTGTAACTGACGGCGTTCCGCCTCTGTCGGCAGTGGGCGCCGGATCTCCGTCGGAACCGGCCGGCGGAGGCGGCGGCTCGGACCGGGCGCCGGCGCCCTCCCAGCTGCGCTCACTGCTCCAGGAGCGGCGGCCGACCGTGGGCCGCGCCAGCCCGGCCGCCCTGCTCGCCGGCCGGCGCACCACCCACCTCTGCACCTTCTGCGGCATCCTGTTCCCCGACCAGACCCTCTACTTCATGCACAAGGGCTGCCACGCCGAGAACAACCCCTGGAAGTGTAACATCTGCTCGGAGGTGTGCCACAATGTGTACGAGTTCAATTCGCATCTTCTGAGCCAGTCGCACCAGTGATATGACGGTGACCGAACTGATGTAACAAGACACAACTGACGTTCAGTGACGTGACTGATATGGACTGATTGTGACTGCCGACTGCGCGGCGCTCTAATTGGACTGGGTGCGCTCATGAACGGGTGTTGAACTCGGGCGCCGGTTGTGGACCGGCCGGTTTCCCGGCGTCGGGCCCGGCCGGCGCCGCCGGTAGAGTGGCCGTTTTTCCGGGCGTCTCGGGCGCGGCCGGCCACGGGCCACCTCCGGTTGGTCTCGTTTTCAATGAGGTCACCGCCGCCTCTGTGGGTCAGCGGGCCACGGGCGGCGCCGGCGGCCGGCGGCCGACTCGGAGCGACGCGCTGCTGTCACCCGGCGCCGGGGCATCGGCCGGCCGGGAAAGTGGCAAAATGACGTAATACGGTACAAGGTGATAGCCGCTTCACCCATTTTTGTACAATCACTCATTGATGGTAGGTATGAATGCGTTGTGTCTTATTGTGGATCAAGCCATTGAGTGGTTTGTTATTGCACTCATTATTTATTTTAAATGACAACTCATGTGTGGTAGGATGATCGCGAAAAATGACAATAATATGAAAAGTGTGATCGATAAGTGACGAAGACATGTGCATTGTTCAATTGTCACAAGCTAGTAGAAACGGGGGCGCGAAAGGGGCCACGAATCCACCGACTACCGAGGTATAACACTTCTCATGGGTATCTGTTTCATATGTACTTTCCGTAGCCAAGTAGCGGCGTAGAATAGTATTCCCCGTCATTTTGTATCTTCTTATTGTTGTTATTGACTATTGTTGTTTGTTGGAGAGATGGCACAGTCGTGCTTCTTTGATTTCACGCCGTCGTGAATTCTGCGTTCCAAGGCCGAAACGGGGCTGCCCAATGCTGCGCTCAATGCGAGCGTTGGCGCGCAGAAAGACGATTTGAAAATATGCGCCGGGTGAGAACAGCTACCGAGAGGCTGGGAGTTCACCCCACCGAACCACCGTCCTAATTGTGATATTGTCTGTCCGGCTTCGATAGACAGTGCCGTGAAGCCAAACGACCACCAGACTGCCCCCCTACTGCCAGACTGGCCTCCGACTACTGCCAGACTAGCTCCAGACGACTACCACCAGACTGACCCAGACTACAACCAGACGCCGCATCCGCCCCACTCCGACCTACATGGACAGACCAAACGGTCGCACAAAGCCTCATCACTCGCCTTTTATCCCCAAGTACCCTCGCAAACACAATTCAAGCCCATTTTCCCTGATGATCCACTAAGAGCCCTCGGTAAGCCAGGATGACGACGCTGGACTGGCCGGACCGGTTCATTAACTCCAAACAACGTTACTTTGGTCTGCTCTCGGGAGCTTATCCCTCCCCTCTCTCATAAGACGGACCGAACACCTTCACACTTACCGGTCTGTTACACCAAACAAAGCGTTCATGCACCATATGAACATACCGACCAGTGTTTGAGACCTCCATCTTACCATTTAACAGAATCCCACCATATACTCGTACATATGTAGATAAGAGACTTAACTATCCCGACTCATCATAAAGATACCCCATCAGACAGACTACATCATCCCATCAGACAGACTCCACCCCACTCCATCAGACTCCCCCGTCCCATTAGACAGACTCCCCGCCCCACAAGACAGACTCCTCGTCCCACTACAGACTCCACCATCCCATCAGACTCCCACATCCCACTAGACAGACCCCACAACCCCATCAGACTTCCCCGTCACACAAGACAGACTCCCCGTCCCACTAGACATCAGACAGGCCCATGCCCCTCCCTCCCACCGAGATATACATCACCACATGACCTGCCGCCAAACGCGCACCAATCGCGCCGTTACGCCGATGCGTTGTTGATTTGTCACGTTACGATGTGGTTGTTACGATATGGTTGTTACGATGTGGTTGTTACGATGTGGTTCTAGAACTGTTGATCTGTAGTGTTCTCGAAGGCCGTGAAATCAATACACTGCCTCCTTCGGACGGATGACAAACCTTGTGTGAATATTGGGTAAAGATTGGCAGACGATTGCCCGATTCTTTCAAAGTCACTTGAAACATCCCGGTAATTATCACAGCTTTGAAGCATTTATGTGTTTTCTGGAATGGTGTGTCATGCCAATAAGGGCGATTTAACTTTTTTTTTAGAAACAAATTACAAGACGAGCACATGCAAATGTAAAAGGCAAAATCCTGATGTATAGGTATTACTCGACTCGTCTAGCTTCTTTTAGCCCGCTCCACTCGTATGCGCTAGCAAACCATCACCAAATGTGATACGGTTATCAGATTGGGTTTCTTATAAGAAACTGTATTTATGCCGGCACATCGTTGAAAGAGTACACATTGCACATAGATCCTGCTGTTTCCAGCTGAGCGGAGGGCCCCTCCACTAATACACGTCGCAATCACGTCTGTCAAGCCCTGTCAGCCATCGACCTCACCCTAAAGGCCCCCTCAGCGCCCAATCGAGGGTGAACGGTACTGTCATGGCTGAGGCGTGCCCACCGACCCTAACAGGGCTGCCCACCGCTTAAAAACCGCTCACCAGAGGTTTCTCACCGGGCTGGCCAATGCTTACCAGCCTGCTCACTAAGCAGCTCACTGGCTGCTCACCAGCAGATCACGGGATCGACAGCTTCTCACCAGCTGAATCACAGGGCTCATCAGCCTGCTCACGGGATCGACAGTCTCTCACCAGTCTGCTCACCAGGCGACTCACCGGACCGGTCGGCGCTCACCGGGCCGGGAACCGCTCGCAGGGACGCTCACCGTGCGTCGGAACAGCGCGTTCGATACCATAATTACCGGAGTGAAGAGTTGCAGACGGGTGGCGCTGAAAAGGACCAACAGACGGTCAGTGCGCGGCCTGACGCAGCTTCTACGTGGGTTGAACGCGGTTTTCTGAGGACAACTGCCTATGCTAACGCCCTCTCAAACGCAGTTCACACATGACCGTCACTCTGTCGGTGTCGGGCCCGTCACCGTCGACCTGACGGCCTGCAGCCCGTCAAACGAAAGTTGAGATTTGGTAGCTCCCATTGGCTGCCATATGCTGTGACAGAAATGGCGCACCATTTTCGAGATTGAGGCAGATGGGGGAAGGGGATGGTAGAGGGAGAAGAGGCCGAGAGGTTAAAATATTATTTGAATTACAGAAATAAATTACCACGCATTTACATTTTTATGTGAAATAATGATGCAATTTTATTTAAATGAAAGACACATCGGTTCGTCGATTTAAATCAGGGATCGAATCTCAAGATATCGTGCCGTAATAAATACTTTCATCTCAACAAATGGATGGAAAATGGTATAAATGATCCTAAAAATGCAATTAAGCTCCATGCTGCATGATAACGTTACTTTTCCTCTTCCTCCAGCACGCAGACATTCAAACCGACGGGCCCGTCACCGTCAAAAGTTGAACATTGCTGAACTTTCCAAAGCGACGGCCGTCAGGTCCGGCGCCGGCGCAGTCAGCTGTTGCCGGCCGTCGAACGCCGCCGGTTCACACATGCCCGTCGACCTGACGGCCGTCGCTCCGTCAGTTTCGGCCGTTTTGACGGTGTGGGTTACTACCGCCATCTATCACTGGGTGCAGTCCTACGAGTACTACGTCAAGTCGGCTTCTTTTGCTGAGGAGGCCTATACGATGTTTGCTTACAAATCAAATTTGCATAAGTGCTTGCTCATCACATAGGCAAACGCGTCTTCTCTAGAGCTATATATCGGAGCATTTACTCACCAAAGGCCGACGACGGGCTCCGCTTCGTTGCCACTCAGAATAAACACCGGGAACACCAGCGAGAACAGACAACCGCTGCCGGCACAAAAACGGCGTCAGTGCTGCAAAACACGAGCTAGTGGTATACAGACAAATTATACAGACGTCCGTATCCCTTAGTCACACCCTAAACATTATAGTACCTATGCCGCAGCCATAACCATTATAACGGGCCATTAGAGGACCGCAACCACACACACCCATTATAGGGGCGTAACTCATAGGTCACACAGTCACAGTTACTCACAACACATGTGGCTTTGGCTTGTAAAAGAGGATCAACCCACACCAGCGTAGCGCTGCTTCTCACTTCATGATGCAGGAGGGTATCATGAGCTCCAACTCACTTCATGATGTAAGAGGGGAAGATCTGTGTCAGCAGCGCCAGCGGCAGGCCGAAGCCAAGGAAGTACGGCCACTCGGTCTCGATGAACGCCAGCCGCTTGTGCAGCTCCCAGCCCATGTTGAACCACTTGTACTCGAACGAGTAGAGCGCGTACAGGAGGCACATGTGCAGCAGACAGACGGCGTCACCCAGGCCGTAGATGGGCAGCACCAGACTGGCCAGCATTCCCTGTCGACACATGAATATGCCAGCGTACAGAACAGAGGTTTGAAGAGTCGTAGTCCAGTATTGGTCCTGGCCAGGTTCCTCCCTCGGTCTCTGTCTTCACCTCGGTCTGTGTTGATCAGGTCTAGGTCTGTCAGGTTTCTGTCTCATCTATAACCTTATTCCGTCAGTTATCGACAAATACATTTATCAACTGCTATGGTCCGCAAGAGAAGCACGGCCTGTGAAATAGACGCACACTGCTATTCGAACCACGATCTCTTAGTTTAAGTCAAGACCACAGCAATTTTGCATTTAACGTTTACCAAAATAAGTCCACAGATGTGCGGGCAGCAGAAATATAAGCCACATGACCGATATTTATTGCCAACTGAAACACAGCCAGTGCCACAGAGAGCGTGCTCACTCACCTGAATTAGAAACAGTGCCTGGGCGAAGATGCTGAACAGCGTGTCGGCCACCAGGATGCTGACGCTAAGCTGGGACGAGGCGCGGCCCTGACTGCTGCGGTAGGCAGTGTCGGCAATGTCCTGGCGCGGGGCACAGATAGTCAGACACAGACAGGACTGGTCGGTCAGGAACGGGCACGCAGACACTCACAGACACTCCACGACACTCGTGTTAGGACAGACAGTCAGTAGTCTGATGCGGTCGTATCGTACCTAATGTTCGGATGAAATCATCCCAAATCATAGGTCACCGTTCAAAGGTTTCAACAAGGAGATACTGATAAGAACACGATGTAAATATGACGGAAAAAGCCAGCGCAAGCTAGTGCAAAACGCTCGTAATACGCTGAATTATTATCGAAGGAAAAACGTACCCACCTGAAACCATATGCAGTTGATAATCTTGCTAATACCAAAAATCGGCAGCACCCACAGTGCCGAAAAGGTGTAGGTCAAAATCAGATTCAAAATCATCCATACTGACCACCTGAAAAGAAAATGGGAACTGTGTCATAAATCGCCTTTTAAAAATTCATACACATTTGGCGTGTTCTCGGGCTCCACACACACACAGGGCTCCTTTCACAGTCTATTCCAGACCCCAACTGCCCGCCCCGGACCAGCGAGCACCCGCCAGGTCGGGGTTCGGCCAATCACAACGCACCTGATCCACACGGCCAATCACACACTGCCACACACTGTCCACGTCATGTCACCCCACTCAGGCCGCTGCGCCACTATGGAGGTGCAAACACACCACACCATTCCATTCCTCCAACTCACAACTCACAACACTACCCCCTTCCATTTAAGGTTGTCGTCCCGACAACCAACGAACAGCAAATATCGTGAAACCACAATAGCCTAAATGAGCAATCGACACACGACAATGAGCGCACGATACGCTGGTACTAACACCATCCTAAACCTGGTACTAACAGAAAGGAAAAAAAAACTGAGCAAACACCGCGGTTCTAATATGTAACGACGTTTCCAAAACGCTCGGGCGGTCGGCGCACTCGTCCCGAACGCCGTAATGACTGTTTGTCCTGCAGACCGCCGCCATTTAACAGCGATGCACCCCGTCTCATTGGAGTTTTAACAAAGCAAGTTTGGCTGTGGTCCCCGGTGTCAGCCCTGTCATCCGGTGGTATATGGGTGAAGTTTTCCGTGCGCGCCGCGGAATCTCCCGACCCCGCCCGCCACTCGGGGCGCGGTGGGTTGAACGGTCCCGTGGGAGGAACTGGCGGACGTGGGGATGGCGCACGCCGTGAACGTCCACGGCGCGCCGTGGAATCTCCCAACACCGCCCACCACTCGGGGCGCGGTGGGTTGAGCGGTCCCGCGGGCGGAACTGGTGGACGTGGGGACGGCCGCCCGCGGGCGGGGTGAGAACCACTCTCGAGACTGACGTTCCCCCGCTCCCCAACCCCCAGGGAGTGTCGTCTAGCAGCGCCCGGGAGCCGACCAGGGCGCACCTCAGGCACGGAAGTGCACGGCTTGAGGCGATTGTGATGGATCACACTCTGCTTGGATCCACCTTCTCGTTGTACCCGATACGTCCAACTGCGAAGCTTTTCGACAATTTTATATGGACCTTCCCATGCGTGTGCCAACTTTCGACTCTCGCCCTTCTTTAACCCGTCGCGGCGCACCCAAACACGGTCGCCCACTGTGTACACGTGCTCCAGGATATGTGTGTCGTGAGTCGATTTGCTCGCCTGATGGGCAGCGACGCTCGCGTTAAAAATCATGGCATCAGTGGCCTCTAGTGTTTGTTGCAGGCCACACACGTATGCAAGAAGGTCCGCCGGGACGGCAGGACCCGTGTCAGTTTGAGCTCGTGCTCCCCCATACACTGCGTCAATTGGTAGCGTGGGCGGCCTCCCGAACACACACTCATACGGAGAGAGACCAGTGGATCTGTTGATGTTGCTATTGCAGGCCAACACTGCCGCCGAAAGATACTCAGACCAGTGCTTGGGATTATCAGCGCTCAGCTTAGCGACAGCGTCGATAAGAAATTTGTGACCACGCTCGGCGTAAGCATTACCCTGTGGGTGGTAAGGCGTTGTTGTCGACTGACGTATACCCAACGAGCTACAAAACAATTTCATGACATTCCCAGTCAAATTTCTGCCCAGATCACTATGGATGCATTTCGGAATGCCAAAAACACTAATGACGTGGTCCATTAGTGCTCTGACAACCGTCTCCGCTTCCTGATCACGAATTGGAATAGCCCACAGGAATCTGGTGAATGCATCAGTGCAGGTCAATAAATATCGGAAACCCTCACGATGTGTCGCCGGCAGCCCACATACGAGATCAATATCAAGTCTGTCAAGAAATGCTGACACCTGAAGCGAACCCAAAGGGGCCCGCGGTGTCGGCTGAGGATTCCGTCGTCGTTCACAGACTGCACATTCTTTGCAGTAGTCCTTCACGTCCTGTTGGAGCCCCGGCCAGTGGAAACGCTCCCTGACCATGCTCTCCAGCCTGGCAACACCCTGATGGCCTCCTCCGAAGCCAGCATGCAGTGTGTGCAGGACCTCCTTCCTCAAGTGATGAGGCAAAACAATCTGCAAGCAGACAGGAGCAGCTCGGTGTGGCTGTATCCGCTTATACAGCACCTTATGCTCGCCTTCCCCGAGCACCAATGACCTCCAATCGCGTAACAAACGGCGAGCGCAGTCAGTTTTCAAATTTTTCGCCAGAGGACGGATTTTACTCTCTTTCCAAGCTTTGATCTCCCGTATGCCCTCGTCGCGGTCCTGCTCGCGGCTGATGTCCGGCAGTGACATTTTAGAAACGGAGCAGATCGAGGGGTCAGATGGCTGCACGGCTCCCACGGCACGGACCGTCGCCGGCTCGGTAGATTCCCCCGTCTCCGAGGGTACCAGACCGGTGCTGCCAGCTGCCTCAACATTTGTCTCAGTCACCGGCCGCCCCTCTTCCCCCTCCGAGGAGACGGGGATACAAACCCATTTAAATGCCACCTCGCCACCCGGCTCAGGCGGGTGGGGGTAGCGCGACAGTGCATCTGCATTGCCATGGGAGGTTCCCTTTCTGTGAATGACGCGGAAATCGAGCTCAGATAGCTGTAGCAGCCATCGGGCCATCTGGCCCTCGGGATTTCGAAATCCGAACAGCCACCGAAGGGCGGAATGATCGGTGCGCAGAACAAACTGCCGACCGACCAAGAAGTGTCGAAAGTGCTGTGTGGCCCATACTACCGCCAGAAGTTCCCGCTTTGTTGCCGAATACTGCCGCTCTGATTTTGTCAGTGCCCGGCTGGCGTAGGCGATCACTTTATCCTCCTGCAGGAGGCATGCTCCCAGGCCTGTTCCACTCGCGTCTGTATCACAGACGAACGGAGCGGCTCCAGCCTCCAGCCGGGGATGGGCCAGGACTGGTGGCGACACCATTTTGGCCTTCATCGTTTGGAACGCTGCCTCTGTCTCCGGTGTCCACCGGAAAGGGACCCTTTTCTCGGTCAGTCTCGTGAGCGGCTTGGTGAGGGAAGCAAAATCCTGAATATACTTCCGCAGGTACGAGCATAGCCCAAGGAATGCCCTGACCTCTGTCACAGACGACGGTGTCGGCCAGTCTTTGATCAACTGCGTTTTGGCCGGGTCACAAGAAATACCATCGGGTGTGATAATGTACCCCAGAAACTTAACCTGTTTTTGACACAGCCGAAGCTTGTTCAGCGTCACAGTAAAACCAGCTGCCTGAAGGTGAGTCAACACCTGACGCAAATTTGCGTGCATCTCCGACAAATCTTTTGCCAGAACCAGTATGTCGTCAAAATATTGAATGTACACTCGCGGAGAGATGCCAGACAGTGCCATCGCTAGCGCTCTGTTGAAGGTGTGGGGAATCCCCACTAAACCGAACGGTGCCGATGTGTAACGATGCAAGCCGAGCTCAGTGGTAATTGTTGTTTTGTCCCTGTCAGATTCCTTGATAGGAATTTGATGGTAGGCCTGATTCAGATCAACGGTTGTGAACCAATTCACCCCCGAGAGACGATTCAAGCAATCGTCGATACGGGGAATGACCTGCACGGAGGGGACAGTCACTGAGTTTAGTTTTCGAAAATCACCGCATATACGAATGTCCCCGTTCGACTTTTTGACCAGTACCAAGGGGCTGGCCCACTGGGACTCACTGACGGGCTCCAAAATTCCTTGGCTCACCAAGCTGTCGATCTGAGTCTGAACACTCGTTTTTAGATGAACTGGTGTTCGCCTGTAGGGCTGAGACACCGGCCGGGCTGAGCCCGTCGGAATGCTGTGTTCCACAAGGTCAGTTCTACCCAGCCCTGTGAACACTCCCGAAAATTCCATGAGCAAATGTTTGAACTTATCTTTCTCAGGCTGTGGCAGGTGCGCGACCACTGTGTCAAAATCAAGTTCTCCCTCTTCAGTGGCGTCCCCGAGAGGGAGAACGGTCTGCTCATCAACTGTGTGTGCGTTGGCAATGTGAGTGCCTTTGTAAAGATGCACGTCTCTTTCACTGGTGTTGGATAATCGCATCGGTACTGAGCAGTCAGGGCCGATGCGAACCGCCAGTCGCGCAACTAGGAGGGGACTGCGCTCCAGAAATCTGTCCTCCCCCTCCAGGAGCGCCGAGGCGGACTCAAAGGTTGCATCGGTCGGGGGACACATTTCTCCCATACAAATCACCTCCGTTCCCGCGCGCACCACCACCGGGTCTTTAACCACCACCCTTGCCGCCTGTACCCGGGGTCCGTGTGGGACACGTGACAATGGTAGTGCATATTCACCCACCCTCAGCAACCCCTGTCCCAAGTCCAAGCAGGCCTCGATTTCAGTCAAGTATTTAGCACCCAGCAAACATTGATCAAACAGCTTTCCCGACACATAGCAATCCACCTTACGAACACAGTCCCCAAGTGTGATTGTCACAGACGTCTTACCGATAATGTGAACGCAAGCCTCCCCATCAGCCAGGCTGATTTTCTTATCCAGCGGTCGGAGACGCGCTCCCGGTGCCAAGCAGTCCTGTCGAATGATGACCTCGTCGGCACCGCTGTCCACCAGGGCGCAGACGGGGCGGCCATCGATGAGGACCTGCGCGAACCGGCCACCCGGCTGAGGACCGCCGGTCACCACGCCGCGTGCCAGCAGCGACTGCTCTTCATCCGACAGAAGTGGCGGCGGCTGCGGCGGCGACGAGCCAGGCTGCGGCGGCGACGGCGAGCCAGGCCGCGGTGGCAGTGAGGCAGGCGGCGGCGGCGACGAGCCAGGCCGTGGCGGCGGCGACGGCGGCGAGCCAGGCCGCGGCGGCAGCGAGGCAGGCGGCGGCGGCGACGAGCCAGGCCGTGGCGGCGGTGACGGCGGCGAGCCAGGCCGCGGCAGCAGCGAGCCAGGCGGCGGCGGCGGCGGCAACGAGCCAGGCCGCGGCGGCGGCGACGGCGGCGAGCCAGGCGGCGGCGACGGCGAGCCAGGCCGCGGCGACAGCGAGGCAGGCGGCGGCGGCGGCGAGCCAGGCGGCGGCGACGGCGAGCCAGGCGGCGGCGACGGCGAGCCAGGCCGCGGCGACGGCGAGCCAGGCCGCGGCGACAGCGAGGTAGGCGGCGGCGGCGGCGGCAACGAGCCGGGCCGCGGCGGCAGCGACGGCGGCGAGCCAGGCAGCGGCGGCGGAGAGCCAGGCGGCGGCGACGGCGAGCCAGGCCGCGGCGGCGGTGACGGCGGCGAGTCAGGCCGCGGCAGCAGCGAGCCAGGCGGCGGCGGCGGCGGCGGCAACGAGCCAGGCCGCGGCGGCGGCGACGGCGGCGAGCCAGGCCGCGGCGGCGGTGACGGCGGCGAGTCAGGCCGCGGCAGAAGCGAGCCAGGCGGCGGCGGCGGCGGCGGCGGCGACGGCGGCGAGCCAGGCCGCGGCGACAGCGAGGCAGGCGGCGGCGGCGGCGAGCCAGGCGGCGGCGACGGCGAGCCAGGCCGCGGCGACAGCGAGGCAGGCGGCGGCGGCAACGAGCCGGGCCGCGGCGGCAGCCACGAGCCAGGCCGCGACGGCAGCGGCAAGACAGGCTGCGTTGATGGGCCAGGCAGATTCGGCGAGCCCAGCTGCAGCGGCGGTGGCGACGACGGCGGCGAGCCGGGCAGAGACGGCCAGCCAGACTGCGACGGCAGCGGCAAGACAGGCTGCGTTGATGGGCCAGGCAGATTCGACGAGCCCAGCCGCAGCGGCGGTGGCGGCGGCGAGGCAGGCGGCGGCGGCGGCGGCGGCAACGAGCCAGACCGCGGCGGCGGCGACGGCGGCGAGCCAGGCGGCGGCGGCAGCAAGCCAGGCCGCGGCGGCAGCAAGCCAGGCCGCGGCGGCGGCGGCGGCAACGGGCCAGGCTGCGGCGGTGGCGGCCACAGCGGCGGCGGGCCGGGCCGAGGTGGTCGCGAGCCAGGCGGTACCTCCAGCACCGCTCGCCTGACTTCTCCTGATCCTTGACTCAGGCAAGGGGCTGACTCGATGCGCCGGTCGACCGGGCGGCCCCACCGCTCGTCGACCGGCCTCCGTTTCCCGAACTGCGGCACACAACTCCAAGGTGTCCGCGTCGGCCGCAGCGCCCGCAGACGTCACCCCGGAACAAACACTCCCGTCTCCAGTGACCGGTCTGGCCACAGACGAAGCAAGCCGAACGGTCCCGTTCCGGGTCAGCTCGCCCGGGACCATCTGCGGTTGTGACGGGCACGCGATGAACAGAAGCCACCGCGGAGCCGTAAAGATGATCAGCGCGTTCTAACGCCTCAACCACGCGGATGGCCTCATCTAGCGTGGCACAGCCCTCTCGGGTTATTTCTCTGCCGTATTCTGCCGGCAGCGCTCGCTGCAGCTGGAGAAGCGTCACACTAGAGCGGCCCTCCTCGCTCAAATGCGGATATGCATGGCGCACTCCAGCCCTGACTCTCAACAAGTAATCTTGGATGTTGCCACGGTATTGTTCCGCGTCAATAGACCTGGCCGCGGATAGCTGATCAGGTGTTCCGCCTAAAACCTTCTTGGCTGTGATATCAACTTCCTCCAGAGTCTCAAAATGTGTCTGACGAAGAGCTTCTTTTACGTTTCCTTCCACAAAGAAACGAATGAAACTAACCTTTTTCTCGGTCGTCCATTTTTTTAGCTCCCCGAACAGTTTGAAGTCGTCAAACCAGTTTTCCCATTCTTGATACGACGTACCAGTAAACTTGTCGAGAGAAATATCTCCAGACATCTTGTGTGAGCCTGTGAGTGCACACCGCTGCCACCACTTTGGCGTGTTCTCGGGCTCCACACACACACAGGGCTCCTTTCACAGTCTATTCCAGACCCCAACTGCCCGCCCCGGACCAGCGAGCACCCGCCAGGTCGGGGTTCGGCCAATCACAACGCACCTGATCCACACGGCCAATCACACACTGCCACACACTGTCCACGTCATGTCACCCCACTCAGGCCGCTGCGCCACTATGGAGGTGCAAACACACCACACCATTCCATTCCTCCAACTCACAACTCACAACACACACTTGACAAACCCTTCAAGATTCCACAGCGAGCATGATGTCAGCATTATGCCAATTGAACACATTTCACTTCTGTGATAAATTGAAAATCCTATGCTCGGCGTTCACGAGCTTATCACCCGTCAGTAGCAGTAGAACCTGATATGCAGTAAGTACCACCTGCACCAGAGTTCTGGGAGCTGGGTGCAGCCCACCGCATGCCCTGACCCCTGGGATCCCCGGCCCTCACCTCTGACGCGTCCAAACGCTCACCTGTCTGAGGAGAGGGCGCCGGCGCCGAACGCCAGCCGCACGCCCAGCCGCAGAGCGGGCAGCACGGCATACTCGAACAGCAGCAGGCTGAGCAGCAGCACACCGCCATTCAGAGCGCAGCACTCGAGCAGCCGCTGGCGCAGCGACGGCTCCCTGTCGGCGCCGGGAGGGGGAGTATACGGTGAGATGGGAGCTCACAGGCACCAAACAACGCACCATGACACTAACCAGGGAGCACTCTGGAAGTGCTATGTGCCAACTCATAAAAGATATATTGTTTTCATGCAACAAAGTAACTCTTGAGTTTCACAACGATGGTTTCATATTCATAGTGTTTAATAGTTGTTAAATGGTATTAATTATCATAATACCTCATAAACTGAATGAGAAGTAATGGAAACCAAGCCTACCCTTCACGAAATTAGGCAAACAAGCATTATGGTGAAAAACAAAACTTATGTAGTGAACTAGCAAAATATGAGACAGTAGCCCAAACAAGGTAGGTAAAGTAGTTTTCAATGAGGTAGGTATTTTGTTTCTATATCATCTATCAGCCCCAGCCCCAATCCCATTCAATTCACTACCTATATTAAGCATTCTTAGCTCCCACTATATAACACAATGATAAAGAAAATCATCAGTATTTGTTCAAAGTTACATGGCAAAATAGCATATGTAGGTATGCACTTCAAATAAAGAGGTTGTTAAGTCAAGAGCTGCAAATTCTTACACAATAAAAAGATCTAGGAGTCTAAAACAAATGTAAATTGTTTTGTTTATAACTGAGATTTGATTGTTGTGGAATCATTTGTGGGTATTGAGGAAGATAAGGTATTTTAATTAGCTTTTTTTCTGATTTTTCTATCAGTTTCTTTTTGAAAAGCACAGTTTATCTCTAAGTTGACATTGTCTCCTGTGTCATAAATCATCTACTGTACACTGTAGAGCCCACAAAGAGCTGATTCCCTTACAGAAATGTTCATGTGGCTGCTCAAATATGGCTCTTCTTCAATCACCTGACACCTCTGATGTTTTTAGAATTAGCTAAGAGAACAGACCCTAATGCCAACAGACTGCAAAAGCTGATGTGTAGGTACCTACATTTAATCATATCACAACTACAGGGTACCAAAATACCTATCTACCACTTGTTATAAATCAAACCACTAAATTGCCAATAGGTAAATACTGCAACTTAACCAAGCCATATATAAGTCCTAATAGCTGTACTTACTTTTCTTGACTTCGCTTAGCTGGCCTATGTCTTGAATGGTGTTTGGCTTGCTCTGAATGCTTCACAGGGTGAGCTACTTCACTGGCCTTGTCATCCAGAGTAAAAATCAGAAGAAAGCCTCTCACACTGTCATAAATACCCCTCCAAATCCCATATAGAATATTCTGAAACAGAAACACATAGAAACACATGTTAAAATGCACCAATCAATTTGTCAACATATCACAAAATTCATCACATTTCAACTAACGTTCATTTCAGAACATCTTCATCACGGCATAGGCACATACCCAACTAAAGTGATTAGTAATAAATTCAGCATTAGAGGATTGTGCTGATATGGGTTACAATGGCGCAGTAAATCCACCACCACCCTAGCATTGACCTTAACCTTCACTGTCTGTTTCAGCTCCAAAGCCAGGCTGGTATTGAATTGGGGGAGCTTGTGCTAGGATAGCTAAAATAAAGCATAATTCCCCACTGCTGAACAAATAACATCAATTTTGAGGAGTACAAAAATAAAAGGTCATTTACCTGTAATGCACCCATATTCTGTGTGGAGAAGCATTCAAACAACACTCACATAATAGGCAAAATGCAATGATCAAATCTCAGTGACATAAGGGGACTGAAAACAAGTCCAATTCAAATTGCTATGGCCAGAGACAGCCACTTTCAGATTGGAACAGCAGTCTGTTGGACTGATCTACATTTTCTGAAAAGTGAGAACAATCTGTTTCAAATCGTTCCTGGTACAAGAAGTTAGTTACGAAAGTGAGCAAAATCACACTCAGCCTTTCACTCCCTTTGTGTGGCTTGTGTGGCCTTTGCCAAGGATTTTTTACATCTCGTTCGTGTTCGACCATCAGTTTAAAAAGCACTTGAGAGTCAACAAGGGGAAAATATGCATTTGATTGGTGCTAATAGCGAACGCAAGGCAAAGTGATTGGCGAAATTTTAAGGCAGCAAACAACTGCAATGCTTTTGAACAAAAGCTAAAATACTTTTTGAAACTATTGCGCCATTTATGTAAAATACATCTATGCCATATTATTTATATCCCAACAAAATCACAAACACTACAATGTTTCCAAAGCGCCTCCAGGGCAATAGGTTCCGTTCCATCAAGATTCCTTTCCTACATTCACGCATGAAGAGTTTCTATCTGAACTATGCATAAAACTTATCCCAGCTGCTGATTGTAGCTATTAGCTAAGTTGGGCATTCGGCGGAGAGTGAATGTCGGAAGTGTGAATCGGAATGAATTCATCTTTGGACTTTGCTCCAGTGAGAGGAAGTGTTTTGTTGAGTTCAAGCTCTCCCGTTTTTTCGTGTGTATATACAGCACGCAGACGCGAACAAAAAACGTTTACGGAACAAAAAATTTCACACGGCATAGCGGCAAAGGATCCCTTTACCTGACTAGGATCCCTTTGCCTGACTAGGATCCGATAGGCTTGGGATTTCCAGGCCATTTTAGGCCACTCAGGATCAGTGTGGGCTCTCAGAAGTCTGCTTAGGATCCCGGAGATCGGCGTGGGTCACCCCAAACAGTTACGTGTATGTGGAGTGTGGGACTTTAGGGCTTTCCGAGCCCAAGGTGCAGGGCCCTCAGAAGCCAGTGTGGGCGGCGGGCGCTAAGAGACCATGGGCCCAGGGAGAGCCTGGAGCCCTCAGATAACAGTGTAAGCCCTCGAGGTCTGCGTCGAATCCCTAAGGACCCTACGTAGGGACATAAGAAACGTGTGTTGGGACCCTCAGAGGCACACGTGAGTCGTGACCCCTTAGATGCCGGCTTGGGGTCAGTAAAATCTGACACCTCAAAAGTTCGGCTGAGATATCAGAGGCCAGTTAATTAAGCTAACGTTAGTTAAGTTAATGTTCTCAAAAATTTTCGAAGGCAGCCTCAAATAGCCGTGTGGCCCTTCACAGGTATGTATAAGGCAGAGCTGGGCATTGCGCAACCTATGTCCACAACGATCCGCAACTTCGCAACTTGCGGACTACCAGTACCCTCTTGGTAGCGGAGCTACGGATTGGCTACCGAGCCCAAAAAAACTTGCGAAATTGCGAGTTGCGGAGGCGAAAAAGCAACCGCTACCGGGGCCATCACCGAGATACAGGATCGAAGCGAGATATAGGTTTCAAGGCAAGTTCATTGTGCTAATCTCGTCAAGACTAAATAATTGATGTGCAACATGACCTTTGTGGATCAGATCGTGACCTTGACCTGAGGTCAAACTTTCAATTTGACCTTTCGAGATCATCTTACATATTATTGATGACTTCGAAACGATGCACCTTGATGAGAAAAAAATGATGATGATTAACTTATTGACCGAGCTATATTATGTCGACGTGTTTTTTTCCAAACCCCATATCCGTTCTCCCGGGAAGTTCCGATAAGTTGAGAAAACAACTTTCAAAAAAAGGCACAGTCATCAGAACCCGGGTACACTATAGTATACAATAGCCGTTTTCACGACGGCCATCTGATACACATTTCGTGCACATTTGGTGCAGATTAGGTGCAGATTTGGTCAAATTAGGTTCAGTGTAGCCGTTTTCACGACGGAACTTTCGCAGAGGAATCTATTTGATACCTGAAAAGTACCTACTCTTTGAGGCCTTAACATCCCTCAAACTGAAATATTTCATGTTCAAAATAATTTTAGAAGTTTAAATCCGGGCATTCTTTGCCCTCAAATCACTTATTTATTTACAAACACAGCAATTTTCGGTTCTAGTAGCCCATCTTTCGACTATCAGGCATCAAATCAGCGTGGCAACTTGCTCCCTCTTTGCTCCCTCGGGTATCTAATTCCGGAATTCTTAAAAACAAGGAAAGTATATATCGAGTTCTCTTTTATACCTACTCAGTTATGTTTTAATGGTGTGTAGGTATCTCTTAGTAGCTACGAGCTAGGGTTGCGCTAATTGCTTATAGGTATGCCTGCTTTGTCATTATCAGAGAGTACCTATCATCGATTAAAAAACTGAAATAAATTCACAATACGATATTTACTATAACATAAATTAGGTGCAGATTTTGGTCAAATTAAGTGCATTCGCCGGATAACCCGTCGTGAAAACGGCTAACCCGCGCCCCAGCGGCTGTCTCAGCCAACTTCGCCATAGTGGGGGGAGGGGGCATATGTTACCACCCACCTCTAACTCAAAACTAAGAGGGCTAGAAAAACGCGGTAAAAGCAGTCGATAGCTCTCAAGTACGTTTAAAAGCATTTCAGTAATTTTTCATCTTAGAGCAAAATTGGGGTCATCAAAGGTCATAAAAGGTCAAAATTTGCCAATTGTCATTATATTTTTCAGAAACATGTCGTTATCTCAGGAACTATGATAGCTAGAAAAACGCATGGAAAAGAAATCGATAGTTTTTTAGCTCTTCTTTTGATAAGGCCATCATCAAAATTGACCTCACGTCAACGGTTTAGCCTCCAGAGGGCAAAAACTAAAAAAACTGCTTTTACGGAAAGTGTTTTTCGACAATAACTTTCGATTTAAAAAAGTCACGATATTTCTATTGCCAGAATCGTGTTCCTCTCGCCGAGACGCGTCGAATGAACTATAATTTGACCTTGAAAGTTCAACTTGAAAATTTGACCTCAGGTCAAGGTCATGAGTCATGACCTGACCGGAAAAGGTCAGTCGATGCGTCTCAACAATACAAACACAATGAGGCCATCCCCATCGTTCCAACTCTTTCCAATCGAGAGTTATTGACAAAAATTTGCTTGTAGCCTCAAATGACCTCGGATGACCTTTCTAGAGGCTATCAGCAAAAAGACACCTTGGTCGTCACGGGTGGTCCAAGACTCCAAACCATTGTGATTCTGAAATATTTGGACTGTTCCTATGCGTACACACGGACCTAGAGGCATTTTCATTTTTCTCCATTGACTTATAATAAAAAGGTCACGCCACTGGCCTGACCTTAGGTCACGGATATAAAAAACGAGATATACAAATTATAGGCGCCCATAGCATCATGCAATCCACCAAGTTTAAAACCTCTCTGACAAACACTGCAGTCTGGACATGATTGCAAACTTTTTTAGGCTTGGTCAGTTAACTTGACCCTGGTGGCCTGACCTGACATGACCTGGGATCAAACATTTCACACATTGTCCAAAATTGATGTACAGAAAGCATACGCCAAGCTGCGCGGCACTACGCGCCGCGGTTTTTTTTATTCACACGCGCAAAAACGCGACATGGTGGTAACATATGCCCCCCCCCCCCCCCCACTGGGGCGAAGGCTACATGGCTTCAGACCCGACCAAATGTTAGTGAATTGAATCCGATATCGCATCGACAATGCTTATACGTTAGAGCCATTCAATTGCAGCCACCTGGTATCAAAAACACACCTCTCATTAAAAAAAAAAAAAACGAGAAGTGACTGGCCGAAACGTTGTGAAACATAACATCCCAACTCAAGACAGGGACAACCATAGCGGCAGAACACTTTCAATTAATTAAGGGAGGGCACTGCCGACTTTTGGTCCCATTCCTTTCATGCAACGCCCATAGGGCTAATGTTAAAATGCCAAAATCAAAGGGGGGCACGGTGCCCCGGTGCCCTCCCCTTTCCCCCGCCTATGGGGACAACTAGCATCAGTGATACTACACTGAAAACAAATCTACTCTTCTCTCGTGAGTAAACTCACGGAAGAGCGGTTATATGGACACCACCTATTTGACGGCCCCAGCGACCGGTTAATCAACTCACCACTTGCCGGTCAACTTTCCGATGAAACGTGCGTTTACTCATGCATATTTACCCACGCTCGATGAGTTAACTCATTGCGAAAACTCATGTATCGCTGGTTACTCATTTCCGTTACTCTCATTCTGTGAGTTGATTTACTCATGGATGGACGGTTTTATGGACACCACCTATTTGACTGCGCCAGCGACCGGTCAATCTACTCACCTTACTCATTGTGAAAACTCATGTATCGCTGGTTACTCATTTTCGTTACTCTCATTCTGTGAGTTAATTTACTAATGGATGGGCGATTTTATGGACACCACCTATTTGACTGCGCCAGCGACCGGTCAATCTACTCACCTCTTACCAGTCAACCTACTCATCAGTCATAGGTAAGGTTGACCGGCAGGAGATGAGTAGATTTTCCGCTGTTAAACGGATAACGCGACTTATCAGATTTTCATTCCCATCTTGCGTGTTATTTCGTGTGCAAAATAGCATGCAAGACGAGGAAGAACATCCAACAAGACCATATACTATCCGTTATACTAACACCGAGCAATGACACCGAACACAGAAACGTGGTCGTTTTATAGGAACAATCAACAAGAGATCGAATGTTCTGTAAAACGACAAGTGCGTGGATACCTATTGTCATGGCATGGGCGACATGAAATTGACAAAATAATAACCCTGCGCTCATTTTGTACTGTTTAGAACGAATGACAAGTCAAGAGAACAGCAAAGTTAAATCTGTATTCCATGCACATACGAACAAGCAAGCTGGACAACCTATTATGGACGGTAACGCTCAATGATCATAGCTGGTTGCAAGACCAGACCAGCTATAGGAACCCATCATAAGGAGCAGACGGACCTATTATACCAAGCAGCTTTCTATTTCACAGTCTTATGTGCGATTATGTTATTTCGTATTCTATAGAAAGGTCGTGCAACCAGCATGTGAAAGACGCAGTTTCAATAGTCATTTAATACGCAAACACAGTTTCAATGGTTTGGTTAACTGATACATTTCCGATTCCGCTCTGCCTGTGCTTTACATCAAAGTGCCTTGTATCTCATTCATTAGCGTCCAACGTTTCACGTCTCTTTACGGTTTAGGGACACCCTGCAGCAAAATATAAACGAACTGCAACAAGCTAATTCAACTGCAACTAGTTACAATGACAAAAACTTGCGGAACAGAAAACAGAAACAAACAGAGAAAAGTATGAGGCATCAACAGAACTCTGCCGGTCAGTCTCTGTCCCGGCAGCTGGTCACTTAACCCGCGCGGGGCTGGGGGGGGGGTAAATTTTACCCCCCCCTCGCGAATTTTTGCGATATCTCAAAAACGGCGGCGCGCAGCGCCGCCAAACTTTCAGTACCTTTTCTTACATCAATTTGACACCTTCCCTGAAAATTTGAGCGAAATCCGTCGGAAAATTTTTGAGAAATTGACGTTTTAGTGACGTCATGTTCGCCATTTTCGCCTCAAAAACGGCAAAAGTTCAAACGCCGCTAACATCTTCATTTTTAAAGGAATCAAGACGTAACAAAAAAGGTTATACGTAATTTTACTTTGTCTATCAAATGGCTATCTCGGTTTTTTGAAAATTTTGGATTTTGGCCTAAATTTTTTCAAAAAACTGATTTTTTCGGGAAAATCATTATAAAATCCAAAATTTTGAGTCTATCAAAAAAACCGGAATATATGTCAGAGAAGTGGTCTATGTGCACCTACATACCTAATTTTAGAAGAATCGGTTCAAAAATGTGCGAGTTATTCAAAATTTTATGACGTCACGACACACAAAATTTTTGAAAAATGACTTTTTTGGAAGTTCTAGACCTCGTACGGAAACAAAAATAGCACCATTCGATTCGCCGTGAAAAACTGCATCAGATAGACACCTTTTTAGGCCTTAACAACCAACTTCAAAATTTGACCTCACTTGACCTGACCTTGACCTGACCTCGACCTGAAATTCACCCAGAGGTGGTCCATATCACTTATTGAGTGTGCCTATTGAATTCTATGAGTAAAATGACCCATAAAACATGTGTCGCACATGCCCTTTTCTATATTTTGTTTTTTGGTGACCTGACCTGACCTGACCTGACCTTGACCTTGACCTCTGAATGATATTGTATGCAACTAATATTGTCTTGGTAGCCTAAGAACACGTTTTGGGCGATCAGTCTCAGTCCATGACTCCATTCTTCGGCAACTACGGTGCAAGGCCGATACTGTAGAAACTTGCAATCTGTACCCTTGACCTTACCTTGACCTTGACCTCAAACTTTAAATTAAGTACATGTTTTTAGTAGTTCGTGATGAGAGCTTTCGAATGGCGTTTGAATTTTCCAAATCGGACCATTAGTTCGGGAGATAACAGGGGGGGTAAAATTTACCCCCCCCCCCCCCCCCAGCCCCGCGCGTTCGGCTGGAGACCCCAGCCCCGCGCGGGTTAAGTCGACCGCCGAGGTTAGCTCTTTGAACTCGACAACCGTCTCCCTTTCCACGTAGAGCATGCCAGCTCGAACTTGCGGCCATGGGTACTGGCCACTGGGGATGGCTGAAACACAGCTCCGTGCTCGCCAGCGCGGTGCAGCAGGTGGTCGACTGCATCGTCTGCAACAAGAACAAATATTTCCGATACTATTAATGGTTATATCCCGAACAAGTTGCCTCGGGTCGATTAACGCATATTTTACTCTCGAGTGATGTAACGGTTTTATCCCGAGCCGTCAGGTGAAAAAAAAAACAGGAACTTTGAGAGCAGAAAAGAGAATATACACACCCGGGGCTGGGGACAATTTTATTATGTCACCGAGTTTTTGCCGAAGTTCCGAGGGTCATTAGACCCGAGGTATTTCGATAAAATACGAGGTTATATCATTAAATTGCCAGCCCTAGGGCAAGTTCATTTCCAAACATGCAACGCTCACCAATGTTCACAAAGTCCAATGTTCACAAAGTCCATGCTGCTAAATAAATTAAATTTAGCAGAGGGCCGGACAACGTCCTTGACGACGGGCAGGGCAACATATTATTCAGACGGAGGCTGAGCGGAGCGAAGCCGTATGAACAAAAGTATTATAAGAGCAAAAGTATGAACGAAGTCAAATGAACATTCACTCTCTATACTCACCGATAACGAGCCAGCTCTCCTCAATGTCCATCGCCGGCGGCCCGCTCGCGCTGGTGCCCTCGCCGGGGTCGGCGGTGGCGGCCGTGACCTCCGCATCGACAGAGTTGCTGGGACCCTGAATAACAAACCAATAGATGCTATTAATGTACAGTCTGTCTTAAAAGTACCGCGCAAAGTGACGGTGGATCCATCAGGCTTGACCGAGGAAGGGCCCTCTTTAATTTGAAAGTTACCGAACCAATTGACCTGGGGAATGGACGAGAGTGTCAATTGCTTCGGTGACTCAAATTTAGCACGCCCTTCCTCGGTCAGGCTTGATGGATCCACCGTTACTTTGCGCGGTACTTTTAAGACAGACTGTACGCCACAACAATACACAGTTACGGTCAGCCAGTCTATTTTGAACAGTTTCCTGAGAGCAAACTAATGCACCGGTGCTGGGAGAAAATGTCATCTGATTTTGCAACTTCTTTTGTTTAATTTTGCTGCAATACGTTCTACTGGTTTGTTTAAAAAGCGGGCATTAAAATTTAAAACATGTTTGTCTACCTAGCATACAAAAATATGTGTCTGTCACGTTCAAAAGGCACTGCGGAACATTTAGATTGCTGGTTAGTTGAGTTGGATCTGGGCAAATTAAGTGAATTTGAGGCTCATTTTTTTCAGGGCAAAGCAGTTTTCTTAGGTTATTGATAAAGGGCAGATATTTAGTTACCTTAAGCCCGTGTCCTAATTGTGAGGCAGTTTTTTGCATCTTTTTACGCTATCGTTTTTACGCTATCTTCGAAAAACCTTAGGGTGGGTCGCATCAGCCCCCCCCCCCGCCAGGGCGAGGGTTAACGTCCATGGGAAACTGCAGTGTGGCATGGACACTGGCCAGCCTGCGAGTTATGTGCACAAGGAATATTTGTGGTGAAATTTCATCTGAGAACAGCCCATAAGCAGTTTCAAAATCATTTCTCACCAGACACCAAGCACAGCATTCCAATTTCCAACCTACCCACCTTCGACCTAAATCAATTTTTTATAATAGCTGGGCACCTGTGAACTTGCATATTTTGCCATTTGTTTGCATTTATATTTTGGTATTCCTCTGATAGGCATGTCACAGGTAGCTTTTGGATGGTGCTGGTATTTTCTTTTTGTCTTTAGCGGTGATAAACCATCAAAATAGGTCAAAATTTTATTTTTTTACCCTGAATTTTAAGGCTCTGAAAACCTGATGCATTTTCTAATTCAGCACATATAGATAATAGATGCACGCTTGACGCTGGACATGCACTGAAGCTTTTGGCATGAAATTTTGCCACTATGAGCATTACCCTGGCTATGTGCAAATTAATAATATAAGCTATTCTGCCTGTGACCCTGGATCTGGTTGTACAGTGGTCTATAAATTCATTATATGCTCCTTGAAGGGCAGTCTGATACCTAAATTGCAGTATGACATGGACGCGGGGTCACGCATGTGGACTTCCTGGCCCCTTTACTGTATATCAATGTCCCAGGCCTGCATGTAGGTTAGCAAAGAGAGCTGTCGTTTAATTCTCCGGTATTTTCCACGCACAATACCCTTAATAACGCAAAATATCTGGTAATTTACTCACCTTAACTTGCAGCACGCGACTCCCCCTGCACACACGGATCCGGCCAGAACAAAAATGGCGGCGAGGCGGCCTATGATCCATCGGTAAAGAAACACGTCAAAAACGAGTTTGATAACCGGTCGGCTGTGAGTACGCTTTTTACGCACGATTTGTGATTTTATTTACTCATAACTCATTTCCAGAACTCGCTTTCTACAGATTTAGTGAATGCATGATTCGTGAGTACGATAATTACGCGCAATACATGAGTCAAGAAACTCGCATTTCCTGACAGACAACCATTATTCCATGCGTTTGGGGCCGCCTTACTCATGGATGGCAGGTCATTGATTTCTTTGTATGAGTTTTTGTAATGAGTAAACCAGAACTCAGGGCTTGGAATGCTTCATACACGAGTAAACCAGCGGTTGAAACTCATTAGCGGCTGGTAAAATGACCTTTACTCTCCATATACGAGTAGATTTGTTTTCAGTGTAATACCTTGTCTCAAGCATTCCGAAGAATTATCCCATTGACTTATAATGGGGAGGTCGCAAAGTTGACCTGACCTTAGGTCACCATTTTCGAAGCTTTGAAATATACATTTTGTACCAATTGTTGGCCTATTCAATCGCTAAAAGTTTCAAATCAATCAGCGACTCGGTGTAGGTATGACAGAGTAGGTACAGACATTGAAACTTGGGGGTGAGGTCACTCAAAGTGACCTGGTGACCTGAGGTCTAAAATTTTCACAACTTGTGCGGAAACAATGCACACGCCGTTTTTCAGATATTCAAAAAAACCGCAGGGATGCTCAAACACTCCTGGCCCGGCGCGGATTATCTAGGATAGAGTGGGGCAAAGCGCTCAGGGTGGGTAAGACGCCCACCCCTCTTTTTTGTGAAATGCTCGACTTTTCAAAGAATCCTTGATAGCCATTTTCAAGAACACGCAATAATCTGCTTGTACTCCCTTTCATGGTTCCACAAGTAGGGTTTTCTGGACCTAAGGTTTCGGTATACCGGTACCTATAGGTATTCCTGACGTTTTTAGGAATAGCAGGCTTTCTTAGTGCTAAAACTTTGTCTGATAGAGATTGAAGAGGGCAATAAAAGTTTGCTATTTCGAGCCTGCAGAGTTAAGCTATTCTTTGAGCATTTACTTGCACGGGTGGAGAATGTTTGAAAAAGTTACCCCGGCCGGCGACCGAAAGTCAGAAAGACGATGATGATCAAATATTTGTCAACGGTTATCAACAAACCCCTATTCTGTGGCAAGTAATGGATGTCTGCCGTTGGTACGTTTTTAGGGAAAACTGCTGCACAAAGGTGCGGAAGATTTCGTAATTGTAACAACAATTTTGAAATACGCCTTAAAATTTCGGACGCATGTCACCAAGTGCTAGATCAGGTCATCAGGTCAAATTTGCTGGATGATCGTGCTAAAAATGCCATCATGCCCTTTGCAAAGCTTATTCCGTGGAAGTTGCAACTAGAGGTGGCAAAATGTGGACCCGAGGACCCGGTCCAAAGAACCAGTCTGGACCCGTATGGGTCCAGACCGGTTCCTGGGTATTTTCTGACGGGTCCAATCGGGTCCTACCATAAACTATACATCTTGCACACTACACATTATTGCAAAATATGAAGTGAATGAAGTGAATGTTTCTTTGCACACAGTAGCTCATGAGTATTCCCAGTGGGAAATAGGCTGTTTTACATGATGCAACTAATGATTCCTTAACCTTCGCCCTGGTGGGGGGGGGGGGCCATTTTGGCCCCCCCCTGTGGTTTTTCAGCGATAACTCAGAAACCACTTGAGTTAGCGCCCTGAAACTTTGTATAGCTGTTTATTCAACATTTTTACATCATGTCCTTTTTTGGGGGGTTCGGGTCAGGTCAGGTCAGGTCACAAGGTCACCAAAACTGACACCACCTCTAAAAAAGTTCAAAGCTCTCTCAAAGGCACAGCTTTTATCCGATCGATGTAAAATTTACAGTACTTGAAGATGTCACCCAGCTCTACAAAATGGCTATCTCGGATTTTTTATAAATGTGACCTAAGGTCAGGTCAGGTCATCGCTGCTCCCCATTATAAGTCAATGGGAGAATCGAAAAGTAGTTGTTTTTCAGCTAAATCGGGCGTGATTGTTCCTATATTTCGTTATTGAAGTGTCTTGGGTCAGCAAATCACAGCCCATGTGAAACCATTTGCTTGTGACCTCGCTGAGGTCACGCTAGGTCATCTCCCTGGTCACCAGAGGTCACCAGCGGTTTTTCTGCACTTACTTGTTATTGAATAGAGATAGAGACTCCGTTCGACGTTTATCGTGTTTGTCTCGTCAATGCGGATCGAATGATATGCAGCATGACCTATTTCGGTAAGGTCATGACCTTGACCTGAGGTCAAATTTTCAAAATGACCTTTCGAGGTCAAACTATATATCATTCGACGCGTCTCGACGAGCCAAGCACGATGGTGCATGAATCGTTTCTCTATTTTCTCGTGAATGCATGCTATAGTTAAAAACATTTTCAACGAAATTTGCCAAGTTGACCTTGCATGACCTCTGTGGGCCAAACCGTTGAGCTGAGGTCAAATCTGACGAACCTTGGCGAAAGAGCTTGAAAAGAGCTATCGATTGCTTTTTTCCGCGGCTCTCTAGCTCTTCTAGTTTCCGAGCTACAGCGGAATATGTCCGGCAACACCGAAAACACTGAAATTTGACCTATGATGACCTCTAGCGACCTCAATATTGACCTTAGCGAAAAAATGACTGAAATACTTTCGAACGTACTTGTTATGGGCTTTCGTTTGCTTTTTTCCGCGTCTTCCTAGCCCTCTTCGTTTTCGAGTTAGACGGGGGGGGTCATTTTGGCCCCCCCCACCAGGGCGAAGGTGGCTCAGACCCACACCAGGGCGCGGGTTAAGTAGTTTGTATTAATTGACTTTTGGGGAACGGTTCCAACTGGTTCCGGTTCCAACTAAGACCGGGTCCGACTGGTTCCAGAAATGTCCAGCCGGGTCTGGTTCGAGTCTGGTTCCCAAAATTTTCATCTTTTGCCACCTCTAGTTGCAACCTTCCCACACAAAACAAAATGTCAAATTTGACCGTTTTGACCCTCTTATTGATTTGAGCTCGCACCTGAAATATTATTCGCGACCGAGCCTTAAGTAATCGAATGCTTTGTTTGCAGTGTTTAAGTTCCGTTATGTTCATGAACTGTGAGAAAAGTTGTCGGAGAACGCTAAAATCAGAGAAATTTGGCTTTTGATGATCTATGGTGATTTTATTATTGAGCTTGCCTAAAACATGACCAGATTTCACTGATCACGTTTGTCGCTCTTTCAAACGTCGTTCCGCTTCTCGCCTCGTAGCCCAGTAGCCGAGTTAGAAGGAGCGTGAAAAGCCCACCTCTCGACTCAACGTGTTACGATAGGGCCACCATCCTGGCGCGGGTTCAGTTGGGGGAGCCTTGAGCCCCAACAGCCCGTCCTTCTATCTCACTGATATTACCCTCGTCCTGTCTTGTGATGTTATTACAGTGCCATCTTACGATAACGGCCCTTAAATATGATTTACTTCTGTTTGATGAAACATGTCGGGCTCCGCGATGAAAAGACTTAGAACATAGAAGCTCCAAAATGAAAATAAAGTAAATCTTCAAGAACTTTTCAAGGTAGATAAGAATAATGAGAGACGCTTTTATAGATGGCAGTTTTTTGTATGGAGACAGCTTTTAGGATTTACAAAAGTGGAAAAAGTTACCCCGGCCGCGCCGGGGTAGGCTGAAAGTTACCCCGGCCACGGCCGGGGTGGCCGGGGCAGGTTCTCCACCCATGTTTACTTGTATGTAACAAAGTTGTGCCAGGCTTAATTTAGGTAGATTTTGTTTTGAGTGTGCTGTTGGGGTAATATGCCCACTTTGGTGTGGGGCAAAGAGCCCATCATGGGCCAATGGGAGTTATAGGTACAGCACGGGTAATTGCGAGCATTTTGGGCTCAAAGTGAGTGGCTGGATACTTTTTTAATGCTCAGGATTTGAAAGGTCTATGGCCTAAGTTTATCATCGCATTATTGGACCCTTTTTGTTCAAAGTCCGGGACAAGCTGACCATTGCTGTGTCTGAACTCGACGCAAGGTTTCGTTTCCCATTTAGAGCATGAAGCCGCTATAGGAAAGAAATGGGAAAGGAAAACATACAAAATGTAAATGTTTGTCTTTCATCGGCATAACCCGCAACGAAACCATGTATCTTGCAATGTTTGTATCTTGTTTGACGGAAGATAGGTAGGTACTTTGCAAGAAAATCGTTTAAATTTAAGCGCGTTTCCCCGGTAGGTCCCATGGAAATTCAACCATCACCTGCTTACCACTAGGTACAGAAGGTGATTAACCCGAACCCTGGTGGGGGGGGGGGCTGTTCCCCCCTCCATTTCCCCTCCTGTCCTCCCCCTCTATTTTTTTTTTTTTTGCCAAGTCATGGCGAAAACTGTTCAAAATGGATGACGTCAACTTTTCAAACTCAATTCTTAGCCATTCTATACCACGTAGCGCAAAACAAAGACGACCATTAGACTCGCCGATGACAAGCTGCATCGAATCAATACCCATTTTATGCAAACATATCAACTTTAAAATTTGACCTTTTCCGACCTGACATTGACTTGACCTCCACCAGAAAGTGACCTAAACCGTTCCTGATGGTCTTATAACCAACACCATTGAGCTGGAAATGAAAAATTGGCCATGAAATATGCTTCGCACAGCCCTAGTAAAATTGGGTTTATGTGCTATTTGGGTTTATTGGGTTTTAGTGACCTGACCTGTGACCTGACCTGGTGTTTTCAGTGACCTCTAATAGCATCATATGTACTATAGGCAACTGACGCCTATCGCTGATTTCCGATGAAATGCGTTTTACTCAGTGTTATAGCGCATTCCCCTAGAAGACCCGTGAACGGTAAAACAATTTATCTTTGACCTGACCTGTGACGTCATCGGTGACCCCGAGGTGAATGAAATTGGATTTCCTTCAACAAATTTGACAGCGCTTTCGAACG